GATCCTCCGCCGCAAGAAGCTCTCGAAGAAAGCCCAGGTGAAGTATGTCCACTCGCTCTCGACCTCCTCGCTGACCTACAACCACCACGTCTGGGGCGACCTGGCTCAGAAGGACCTCAATCACATCGCCGCCAAGTACATGGGACCATACCGCGTGGCAGCCTCGACGCCGAAGACCAACTCGCCCGATGAGCACATCGCCGACGCCGAGGCGGTCGCCAGGGCGGGCGCCCCCGACTTCAGCACCCACCGGACGGCGGCACGCTTGCGATACCTACCACGACTGCTGAAGCACGCCCTCGCCGCGCTACTTCAGCTTCTCGATGGCCAGCGCCAACGAAAGGGCACTTGGATCCGGCAGCTCAAGAAGGACTTCGACTTCCTCCGCAAGTACCTCCCGCGAGAAATGTGGCCCAGCCAGACCCAGTACGACTGCGGCGTCACCAGCTGGGCCCGACAGAAGCCCAAGCTCTTCACCAATGCGGTCAAGGCGGCGTTGAAGGCCTACCTGTACCACGCGCGCGACCAGGTTCAGAACGCCAAGCTCCAGAAGGACATCCAGATGCTCCCTGCAGTGGCTCCGACAGGCGAGCTCGACCAGCACGATGGCGCCAACGACCAGAAGTACGTCTGCTACGTTTGCGACCGTATCGCCACTAAGCAAGGCATGGCCGTCCACATGGGCAGGGGTCATCCCGACCGCACGGACCCGCGCATCTGGGCTACTGGCACTGCATGCCGCTGCTGCCAGACCGAGCACCACACGTTCCCGAGGCTCATGAAGCACCTCTCGGTGGCCCACCGCTGCCGCAAATCCTGGCATGCCTTGTGACACCAGACGATGGAGCCTCTGACAGAGCAGCAGATCGCCGCGAACTTCGACGCCATCGCCGAGGCCTCCACCGCCAACAAGAAGCAAGGACGCCACTCGACCTTCAGCGACAAGCCAGCCTACCAGTGCGACGTCACGCCGCTGCCGCTCCTGGAGACGTCACTCGCGGTGCCGAAAGTATTCGCGGGGCTCGAGTCCTCGCCCAGCCGGCCTCCCGTGAGCACGCCTGCTGGGCCAGCCGCGCGCCAGGAGGTCGTCTTCATCGCCGACCGCCCTCGACAGGCCGCTGACAGCGGGCTCACCTGCAGCAGCGGCCTGGACTACAGCTCGATCTCGACCCACAGCGACGGCCAGTCACCAGCACCACTACCAGAACTTCGGCGAGTACAACAGAATCCGACACGGCGAGATCGCGGCCATCTACGCGGAGTTCACGCGACGGACCTGGCACAGCCACGACGCCAGCGACGATCTGGGCAACAGGGCCAGCAGACGGCGCACTCCAGAGGCTCTCTGGGGACCGCCGGACACCTCCGAGACTATCGCCGACGAGATTTTCGCCGCCAACAACGCCTCCAGAGAGATCCTGCGGATGCTCTTCGCAGCGACCACCGCCACCGCCCCCTTCGTCGCCGCCCTCGCGGCCGAGTCGACCTGCAGACAGACCCCCGAATACCAGCATCTTGCCGCGCAGACGACGGTCAGCGAGACCACGGCACAGCACTACGACCTCGGCGCCACACAGATCCTCGACAACTGCCTCAGCGACGACCTGCGCAACAGAGTGACGACAGCAAACGCTGCCGAGATCGATTTTGCCATCGCCGATTTGCTCGACTGCAACATCGTGGCCAGATGGAGTCTCAGAACAGCAAGCGCAGCGCCGGCCAGCCAGAACCTGAACATCTTCGACGCGTACTATGTAGATTGCGAGGAAGGCTTAGGGCACTGCCCAGTCGGCCAGGGCCTAGGGCGCTGCCCAGCCAGCCCCGTCTCGAGCGACGCAACACGCCACCTCTCAGGGCGAAGCGCCACCTCCAGTCGAGAGGGTGATCGCGACGACGAGAGTCTCCCACCAGCCTGGCGGGGGCCGACGTCCACGGAAAAGGCCAGAACGGGGAGCGCCACCCACGCGAGGACCGACACAGACGAAGGTAACGACGGAGCACAACGTACCGACGAGCAAACGACACGCGTGCACGACTCGGCTGCCCTGGCGAGGCAAGGTTCAAACTTCGAGACGGGCTCGAAGGGTGGGGGGGCAGGACGAGCACTGCCCGCGCCTACCAGGGGGGATGGTGAGGGGCAGGGGGGGGGGGGGGTGGACGTCCACTGCCCGCGCCCCCGCGGTCCGCCCTAGCTCGCCACCCCCACCATCCCCATGGCGGAGACGGAGCTTACCCGAGCGCCCAAGGGGCGAAGCGAGGGCAGCCGAGACATCCCTCACCGACAGCAGAAGCAAGCACAAGGCCTGGGGTTCGCCCCCACCGAGGGCACTGTGGCCCCTATCCATAGCGGGACGATGTGGGGCCGCCACGAACACCACTTGAAGTCGGCGCATGGAGGCTTCACAAGTGCGCCCACAACTCACATTACAACACCAGCAACAAGCCGTTCTCCCAACGACCCACCTACAGGCACGCACGACAAGCAACCACAAGGTCTGGGGTTCGCCGCCACCGAGGGCACTGTGACCCCTAGCCATCGCGGGACGAGGTGGGACCGCCAAGAACCCCACTTGAAGTCGGTACATGGAGACCTGATGGATGAGACAACCTTCCCAACAACGAATCCGACGACCAAACGACCACCTACCGCAGAGCTACCATCTCGCCAACCACGACCATCACCACGCCACGGACTGACCGCTGAAAGGAGGACAGGAGCAGGGTCCTCAGCAGCGTGGCATGATGAAAAGCTGACGGAGGCCGCTGAAAGGAGGGCAGGAGCAGGGTCTTCAGCAGCGCCCCCCGACCGCGGACGCCCGCAGAAAGGAGGACAGGAGCAGGGTCCTCAGCTGCGCGGCCAGACATTGGAGGGCGGCAACGCCAGCGCCAGCACCGACGCCAGCAAGAGGAGCGACGGCGTCGACCGCAGCATCGACACCAGCCATCGACCCTGGCACGAGAAGAAGACGTGGCGCGCCGTGCGCCACGGCGAGGCTGCCCCCAGCCTTCGGGCCGAAGGGGGGAGCGGCCCGCACCCCGTGTAACAGACGGGGGCCGCCAGCTCAGCCTGAGCTCGGAGGCGGCTCGACAGCAAAGAAAAATAAGAGAAGGTCGGGCGCCCCTCAGCTCGCGAGCAAAGGAGGGGCGCCCGTCGCAAAGAAGTTCGAGGAGAAGCCGTTCGGCGCCCACCAGAAGGCGCTGGACTGACGGGCTACAGCGCCCCGCCGTGGGGCGCTGCGGAGCCCTTATTGAAAGGTGTTGAAAGGAGGAGGAGGAGGAGGAGGAGGAGGAGGAGGGAGGAGGGAGGAGGAGGAGGAGGAGGAGGAGGAGGAGGAGGAGGAAAAGGAGTCCCCCGAGATTCGTGTCTACGTATTTGTCTGTGCCCCAGGGCCCCCCTGCGCCTTCCCGACGGCCGCCCCCGCGCGGGCAGCGCCCGCGGCCTCCGCGAGGGCGCGGGCGCCCCGCGGACAGGCACGTCCGCCGGCATCTGGGGGCAGTCGCCGCGCTGCGCCCTAAGGCCAGGCCGAGCTTGCCGCGCCGGAGGACCGCGAGACTTCTGCCCTGCCTCGCGCTATAGGGCCTGCCGGGGGGGCGCTGTGAGGGCTGCCTGCCGGTCCGGGTGGACAGGGCTGGCCTGCTGCCGGGCCCAGAGGAGCGACGCCTGCTCCCTTGGCTTAGGTCGGCCGTGTCCTCCTACTGGTGGATCTCGAACGAAAAAACAAAAGAACTGTCAATAAAGTGCGGCAGAACCCAAGACAACTCCGTAACATCGTCCCCTGATTATATTTTGATCTTTTTTGAATACCCTTCCTGTAGAGGGACAGGTCCGACTTACGGCCACGCCAGCGCCTCCTCGCGCTCGATCTCGAGGTGCCAATCTTAAGTCGGGCGTGTCCCTCGTCAGGAATATTCGAAACCAAAACGTAAAAAACTAGAATGGGGACGATGCTTAGACTATGTTTGAGTATTGTTGGAACTATGTATTTGATGTGCTTTCTGTTTCATCCGGAATCCGCCTGTAGGAGGACATGCCCGACCTAATGCCAGTCCAGGGTCGGCCAGCGCCTGCTGGCATGGCCCACCATTCGCCGGCTCCGCGTGGGGTATTCCGCAAGAGCGGAGCAGCGCCCGTCCTTCCGCGCCCGGGGAGCTCAGCACTGGGCGGCGCAGCTCTGTGAGTCCAGCCTCTTCGCGGGTCTCTGGATCTTCTCGGGCGAGCTGCCGCCAAGGGTTAAGTCGGGCGTGTCCGTCTACAGGGGGAATATTCAAAAATAGTGTGTGTATATATATATATAGTCCAGGGACGGTGTTTTGACTATGTTTGAGCACTTTTGGGGTATTTGGGGGGTATGTGTTATTTTCCGTTCAAAATTCGCCTGTAGGGGGACACGCCCGACTTACGCCAAGGGAGCAGGCGTCGCTCCTCTGGGCCCGGCAGCAGGCCAGCCCTGCCCACCTGGGCCGGCGGGCAGCCCTCACAGCGCCCCCCCGGCAGGCCTTATAGCGAGAGGCAGGGCGGAAGTCTCGCGGTCCTCCAGCGCGGCCAGCACGGTGCGCTCTCGGGCGCCCGCAGGAGCGAGGAGGAGAGGGAGGAGGAGAGGAAGGAGGAGAGGGAGGAGGAGGGGGAGGGGGGAGAGGGAGGAGGAGGGGGAGGAGAGGGAGGAGGAGGGGGGGGGAGGAGAGGGAGGAGGAGAGGGAGGGGGGAGAGGGTGGAGGAGGGGGAGGAGAGGGAGGAGGAGGGGGGGGAGGGTTCTGCGCCCAGGAGGCCTCCCAGGCAGCTGCCGCGAGGGCCTCCTGGCCGCGGAAGCCTCAGCCGCCAGGCGGGAGCAGCAGGCGGCGCGCGTGCGCGCTGCGCGGCCGGCTGCAGCGGTTCACGAAACCATCTTCCCAGCCCCCCCAGGCATCGATCAGCCCCTGGGGGGCTGCGCGCCGGCGGTGTGTCTGGGGCGACGGCCCGCGCTCTCCTGGGGGCCACTGGTGGGGCGCGGCGCACCGCCTGAATGGCGGCCCGTCCCTCGTCCGCACTGCGGAGTCGCGAGATGGCCGACCAGGGCTGCGCGGAGATGATTTGCACAGCAACTCCGGCGCCGCGCCCAGGAGGCGGCTGTCCCGCGCTGGCGGAGCGGGGGGCGTCGGTCGCGCCCGTGCCGCACTTCGGGGGCGGCCAGGAGGGGGCGATGACTAGGGGGGGTGGGGGGGATACGTGGCGTGGGCCATGATGTTTCCTCGGATTTCATGGCGCCTCTTCTTATTTCATTGCCTCCCTGGCCCACCCCCCACTGAGGCCGCGCACACGCCGCCAGCCACGATTTGCGCCCCCCGCCTTGGCCGCCCCCGAGCCGCACTGCCGGAGGAGGAGCCCGCCGCCTGGGCCGTGAGGAGGTTCGGGCGGGTGGTGCAGTCAACACGCTTCGTAAGGATGAGCCGCTTTTCCCATGGTTGCCCTTGTGTCTTGCATCTTGCCTTGCGCCCCTAGGTTTCGGACCCTCGAGGTCCTTACCGCGCATCCTTACTATACGGGTTGACTGCAATGCGCCTCCTCCTTCTCTCGGGGGAGCGTAAGACCCGGGTTTGCCAGGACTCGGGTTCGCCATCGTTTTTTGACGACCGCGCCTCGGATTTTGACGAGGAGGAGTTTCGTGGGATGTCTGCAGCGGGAGGCCTCGTCAAAATGCAGGATCGGCCTCGTCATTTTTTTGACGAGCTCGTCGGGGATTTCCGAGTCCCCTGTACCCAGGTCTTACGTCCCCCTGATTCTCCTCCTTCGCCTCCTCCTTCGCCTTCTCCTTCGCCTCTTCCTTCCCTTACATGGGAGGTGAAGGAATGCGCCCGAAATGGGGCCCTTTGGGGAGCCAGCAGGGCCCCCAAAGGGGCCCGGAAGGGCCCCGTGAGGGCCCATTTTTCTCTCCCCCCCCCCCTTGGCATCGCTCGGACGTGTGCATTTTTTTCCTCGGCGAGAACCATCGAGGACCATCCTGGACCATCGAGCAAAAGAAGCACGCACGACACCGAACAATGCACACGAAGTGGACGTCCGAGCGACGGCGGGCCCCGTGCAGGCCACCCCCCACTGTACCACCCGCCCGAGAGGCGCGGCGAAGCCGGCGCACGGCGTTGGGCCACCCGGCTCCCCTTCACTGGCCTCGCCAACGTTCAGGAGGGGAAAAAACACAGACACAGTTCATCGTCGTAGTTTTTTGGCTCTCAAGGGAGCGGTGACAGGATCTAAGCCCCAGTACCGAATCTGAAGGTCGGTCCCTTGACACTTTGCCGGTACAGCATAGTGAATTGAGTGATCTTGCGTACGGAAAAAGAGATTTCAACACAGTCGATTCTTGGTAGCCCATTCTTTCGGAGGGGAAAAAAACACACAGACACAATTCATCGTCGATCCCCCAGAACATAGGGGGAGATATGGGAATTGGACGGGAAGGCGAAAGCCCAGAACATATGGGAACATATGTGGAATCCTTTTTTGTTTGTGTGTATTTCTTTGTGCTTCCCTGGGCCCCTTCAAACTCGGGCGAGTTTCTGCAGCAGCGATGCCCGGCAGTCTCGGAGCAGCGCGTCACGGCGTAGGCGCTGCTGCCCAGGCCCAGCCTGCGCGCTGCGCGCGTCGCTCTCGTTCGGGAGGGTGCCCGGCGGCAGCGGCCCCGCGAGCTGGTCGCAGCAGCGTGACGCCGTCGCCGCGCGAGCTCTCCTCCAGCCTTACGTCGGGCCTGTCCCTCTACCGGGGGGGATATTCAAACAAACTCAAAACATAGTGTGGGGACAATGTTTTGCGTATGTGGGGGCATCTTTTGTATTTTTGGTGTATTTTTTTTTTTCGTCCAAAATCCCTCTGTAGGGGGACAGGCCCGACTTAATTCCTTCCCAGGTGGACAGGGCGAGCCCGGAGATCAGTCGTGCATATGCTCGCAGAAGAGAAAGCGCAATAAACGTAAACTTGTGGCGCTCCGCGCGGATTTCTTGGATCCGCGCTGTGCCCCCCTGGCGGCGCCTCCAGCGCCGCCCCTGGCGCGCTCCGCGCGCTGGGGAGGGGGGTCCGCCGCCGATCCAAGAAATCCGCGCGGACCTCCGAGTCTTTATTCAAGGGAGGAAAACCACCCAGACCAGACAATTGGCGTTTACTAAACGGCCCTGGGCGTTTGCTAAAAGCCCTGCCCTGTTCGATTCCTTCCTTGGGTGCGTTTACTAAACGGCCTCGCTTGTCGGGGTGATAACTATTAGGGTGGATGTGTTGCCTTCTATTTATGTCGATGTCATTGTTTCGTTCCCCCAGTGTTACGTCGGGCCTGTCCCTCTACAGGAGGAGAAGTCAAAAATTGTCTAACATACTCTGGAGACTATTTTTTTTTAATGAAAAAACTGTTGCGCATGTTTGGGCTAATTCTTATTTTTCGTCCGAATTCCGTCTGTGGGGGAACACGCCCGACCTAACCCTAGCGACGCCGCGCCGCGCGAGCTATCCTCCAGCAGCGCCGGCGAGCCGGGCGAGCGGGGAGCTCAGGCATGCGTGTGGCGCGACGGCATCCGAGCCCGAGGCTTATGATGTTCCAGCCTACTTCAGCTTTGATCAAGAAACAAGTTCCGAAACTCGAGTCGGGCCCAGCGGCCAGCGGCCAGAGAAAAGACACGCCAGAGGCCAAGGCCTAGCGCTCACGACGAAAACGGCATCATCATCATCATCATCATCATCATCAGCAGCAGCAGCAGCAGCATCATCAGCAGCATTATCAGCATCATCAGCATCGTCAACATCATCATCATCATCGTCATCATCATCATCATCATCATCAGCATCAGCATCAGCATCAGCATCATCAGCATCATCATTATCGTCATCATCATCATCATCATCATCATCGATCTTGGTTTGGGAAGCCAAGATGCGGACTGTCTTCTGCCCGCAGGGCGTGGACGGCCGCTCTTGTCTTCAGCGAGTCTTCGAGTGCCTGCACGGGGGGGAGTGTGCTGCCACGTGCACTGGCGCGAGTGGCGTACGCTCGTGGCGCACCTGGCATCTGAAGCATTGGGCGCGCGTGGAGCGCGGGGCGCATCTCGGGCGCTTGGGCCCGCCCAGGCACCTAGCACACCTCGTTCGCGTGGCGGATCGGAGGTCGCAAGCGAAGAGCACGGGCGGCATCGGGTCTCATTGGCCTGCGCCGCTCGCAGAGCCCAGGCGTTGGCAGTCTCCGCCCCGCCTACTCATCATCCTCATGGTTCTCCTCTCGCACGTCCTCTTCCTTCCTCCTGCACCTGCCCCTCGCCCTCCTCCTCCTCCCGCCTCATCCTCCTGCTCGCCCTCATTCCCCTTCTCGTGCTGCTCTTCCCCCTGCTCCTCTCCTGAATATCCTCCTCTGCCTCCTCCTCCTCTCGACTCGACTTCCCCTCATCTTTCTCTTTCTCTGCAACCTTGTTCGTGTTGGTTGCCCTCCGCCTCCTCAAGTTCCCGCCTCTCCTACTGCCGTTCAATTCCATCAATCCTCCTTCTCCTTCCCTTCCCCATCCGCTTACCACCTCCCCGCCCTTATCGTAACTTCATCCGCCGCGCCATCTGATCAATGGCCTCGGTATTCCCTCCCCGTCTTAAGTGGCCCTTTGGACAGCCTTGGGGCCCTCTTGGGGCATCTCTGGGCTCTCTTCTTCGGCCGTCTTGGGCCAATTTGGGGGGCTTCTTGGACGTCTCTGGGTTCAGCACGAGCTGACATGACGAGTGCGCGACATCATGTTTCAAATCATAAAGGAAGCATGAGTTTCTGCACAATGAAGCCGTCTTGGGGGCCCTCTGGACCATCTTTGGGCGTCTTCCAGGCCTCGTGGGCCGTCATGGGGCCATCTTGGATGCTCTGGAAGTCTTCCCAGCACGCTGGAGCCCTTCTTGAGCCCTTTTGGAGGGCATTCGGACATCTTGGAAGCCTCAATGCGTTTTTCACATGCTCCGAGGGCCAGGGAGGTGCGCCAGGGAGCTATTCCTACCCCACTCCCAACTCCAACCCCGACCCCGGACCACGGACAGCATCTTCCAAATCTCTGGGCTTGCCTTCAGATACCGTTCACGCATTTTCGTATCTTGGATTTTCTGATTTTGGTTCTGACGTAAGCCAGGGACATGACAATCCGACCGGGAACCCATCGATATCCCTCCCAGCGGCTCTGGCTGCGGGAGGTGACAGGGGAATGTATTCGAATGCCTCTGGGGACGTTCCGTTGTCTTTCCGACGCGCCCCGATCCTTTCTCAGGAGGTTTGCCGCCTCAGGAGTCCCAGCGAGGCCTTCGACGACAAGCAGGATACCTGTGCTCCAACTCCGGCCCCCGACCCCACCTCCGACCCCACGAGAGGATCCGACACGGGCGACGGAAAGCAGGGCACTTGTGCTCCAACTCCGGTCACCTATTCTCCAACTCCGGCTCCCGATTCCACATCCCACCCTGTGTCCATCCCTGTTGCTTCCTCACAGTCTCCAGCTTCACCTATTCCAGTTTCACCGACTTCAGTTTCACCTCTGCCAGGTCCGAGCGAGAATGCGGAGCCGACGATCACGACGCCGGGGGCTCCAGATTTGCAGTTTCGGCCAGATTCCACGGGGGGTCAGCAGAAGTTTACCATTATCCAGAGAAAGGCGAGGGGCCTGGACAAATTTCTTGAATTACTATCGGAACTTACTGGGAAACATTGGGACGCCATACTACTGAGCGAAACGATGCGCTTGCAACGACGGGAGACGTGGACCACTGAAGAAGGACATTTGTTTGCAGAATCTGGGGAAGGTTCGCACAAACACGGAGTTGGCATACTATTGCATTCCCGATGGGCGGGCTACAAGCGGCAGTTTGTCCCAATCAACGCCCGCATTGCGTATTTGGACGTCTTCCACGCCACAGTGAAAGTCCGGCTCGTCGCTGCTTATTTCCCGCACGCCAAGTTCTCCGACGACCACGTGCAGCTCTGTCTATTTTGTCACGGGAGGCTGCACGACGGAAATTGCATACAATAATCGGCGCCGGTTGCAATGCTCAAGTGGGACCTGCGACGGAGTACGACAATCCACGGGCGTGCGGTACACATGCACGCGGGCCTGTGAATGCGCATGGACAGTGGTTGAAAAATTGGGCTCATTCCGAGAATCTGGTGATTACAAATACGATGTTCAAAAAAACAGTTGTGGGATTTACATACGTATCAGCACACAAAGCATGGTCAGCGACAGCTTGATTACATCATCGTTCCCAGACGTTTTTGGGGGACTGTGACAGACTGCATGGCCAGCGACGTCGTCGATCTGGGATCTGACCATCGGGCAGTGCAACTGCAGAGCAATATAGTGTGTGGGAGGATGCCTACAACGAGTACGGCTACGAACAAATCCCGGCACAGGAGAAACATCTGAGCAAAGTGGCCGCCTCGTGATGTACAACAGTATGATGCCGACGTGGAAAGACATTTACACCAGACAGTGGGCGACAATACAGTGGAGGATATGTACGACGGCATAGAAAGTGCGATACGGGATTCGATGGGAATACCGTCAGCAATCGAAGGTTGCAAATGTGGTGGTTGGCATGGTGGTGGTATGTTACACAAACTCATTGCGCAGCGGAAAGCATTACCAACGACCAGTACAACAGAGCGACGGCTGGTGATCAAAAAATCAAAAAAATGCATCGGAACACAACGGCGGAGCAAACACAAGGCACGCATAGAGCATATTCTGAATGAGCACACGGGGTTGCGACATATCAGCGGCATCACGACTGTGAAGCGCAAGGATCACATCACGTCCATGCGGTCTTCTGATGGAAGCCAGGTCTTTGAGCAGCGGGCGATCGCAAACGTCTTTGCCGAATTCTACGAGAAGCTATATGCAGCGACGCACGTGAACACCAGCGAGCAACGACCTACCATCACGCCGGGCATTCCCCCATTCAGCGACGAAGAGCTGTCCACGGGACTCAAACAATTAAAGAATGGGACATCTGCAGACATATCTGAACTTGCGGCAGAGATGCTAAAGTATGGAGGGAGAAGCTTGCGACGCGCATAATTGGAACTATACAATACGATATTGCTGCCTCAATCACCCACTCCGGAGAGTTGGCACCGCACTCGGATCAGCATCTTGTTCAAATCTGGGGATGCGTCTATGCCCCAGAACTACAGGCCGATATGCATTATTCCGTTGATGTGCAAATTGTCTTCTCTTTTGCTGCACAATCGTTTGGAACCAATTCTCGAAGTATTCCAACCTGCAGAACAAGCCGGGTTTCGGAAACAATATTCTACCGATGACCATTTGTTTGCGCTCGCAGTTCTGCAAGAGAAAGCAAGGGAATTCCACATTCCAATGTGGGCCGCCACGCTGGATTTTAAGAAAGCTTTTGACACAGTTTCCCACGACGCACTCTTGGAAGGCGTTGGAAGCGTAATCTGTCCCAATGCCGTACATCAACATGATTGCAAAGTTAATTGCTGGCCAAACAGCCGTGGTGATGACGGATGCATTGAGCAGAGAATTCCGCATTGCACGGGGAACAAAGCAGGGAGATGAGTTCGCTCTTACTCAACAGCCTTTCACAGTACATCTTCCAGCATATTTACCCCAAGTGGCCTAAACGCAAGTACGGCATTCCGTTATCATATGTTGGGCGCACACCACTTACTAATCCCAGATTTGTTGATGATGTGATGCTCATTTATGGCTCAATGACATTAATCAAACGGATGATATCAGACGTCCGAAGCGTTGCTCTGACGACAGGCTTGGAGATCCACCCAGACAAAACAAAACTATTACACAATCTTCGCGACCGGAAGCCAACAACTGCGCCGGAATTTCCCGTCGTTGACGGCATGCAGATCGAAGTTTTGTTTTTTTCTGGGACACAGAAGTATCTTGGCCGACAGTCTACATTCTGTGACCAAGCAGAGGTAGAGATAGAGTCACGGATCAAGGCTGCTTGGAAGAAGTTCGGCTTGTTCAAGCAGGAGCTCACTGCCAAGGCGTATTCAGCGCATGACCGACTGCGCCTGTTCAACGACGTTGTTGGTGCAACTATGTTGTACGGGTGTGCGCCATGGACGCTCACGGCAGAAATGGACTGCAAAATTTAGCTCAGCGCCGAATGTGACGTATGATTGTGAATGCGCCGCGACGCCGGTACGCTGCCGCTGCAGACAACGGAGAGAACGCTGACACAGCATCGTCAGAAAGCGACACCGACAGCGACACACATTCCACGCATTCGTCCACCAGTTCTTCTTCGGGGAGTCCGTCTTCAGGCGCACCTACACACGTCGAACCATGGCACGAATGGATCAAAAGAACAACGCGTGTGGCGAAACAAATATTTTCCCAAGCTGGCTACGAGAATTGAGTTACAACACGCAGACGACGGAAATGGCGATGGGTGTCTAAATTTGTACACGACACGCGCAAATGGAGCTGGCAAGTTGCGATGTGGGACCCGCCATGCTGCGACGCGCGTGCCTGGAGGCTGCCGCGCCGGCCTCGGATGCGATGATTCGACGACATCTGTTCGACAGTGCGGAGTATTCATACAGATGGAGTCTGGGAAACGCTTGTCTGCGATGACGAGCTGTGGAGGGATGTGGAACCTACGTGCGTCCGCAAATCCAACTGAGGCGCCCCGGCGCACCCGCCGTTCCCTACACGGGACGCCCTATGGGCAACATCGGCGCCGCTCCGCTCCCCACTAACGAGATTTTGGGCCCCAGGGGAAAGGAGGGTGAGGGGGGCAGCCGCATGTCCCACACGCCTTGTCACCCCTGTCATGCGGGGATCTGCGGATTCGCACGCAGCACAATTACACATGAACGATGTGTAAAGCTCAGCGCAGCCAGCCATGAGAAAGCGCTGTCTGGGCATGGGGTTGTTGCAATACTTCAGTGGATCGAGGGGGGGATTTACAAGCCATTCCAAAGAAGGCCGTTCGATCTATGCTCACGAACCATTGGGGAATGCATTGCAGGATGTAGGATCTAGATGCCTTGGGATGTCGTTCTGTGTTGGGTGTATTATTTCATCGCTTCGCTCATTCCGCCAGCCCATAGTGCGCACCGCGGTCGACTGGCCGACTGGTCGTCGGCAGTGCGCCTCTTGGGGGCTTCTTGTGGGCCTCGTCGGGGTCTCTTGGGGCCTCTCGGGGGCAACTTGGGGGCGACTTGCGGCCTCTCGGGGAACTCTTGGGGGCTTCTTGGGGGCCACTGGGGGCCTCCATGGGACCTCTCTGCGCGCATAGCTCGAAATATCCGTTCGGGTCCCCCCGTCTGGCCCGCTCTTGGAGCCGTTTCGGGAGGCTCTTCGGCAATCTTGGAGGCCTCTGGGGTTGCCTCGGGGCCCTCTGGGACCGCGGGCGCTCGTGGAGGCCTCTTGGGCTGTGCTGGGGCGATCCTGGAAGCCTCTTGGGCCCTCTTGGAGCGCTGGTAAGCCCTCTTGCCAGGACCTTGCCGGAACGTGCCGGGATTTGGCCCGGGTACTCTTCGTCCGGGGACCCCAGGGGCGGCCCCGCGCGCGCGAACTATACATTTATCGCCAGTCACGGGAGATCTTAGCACGCCCTTGGCCCGTTGGGCCGGCGAATTTCATAGTTTCGCTCATTTCCGCCGGCCCAGGCTATTCCGTCGCAGGCACATGCCCGCGTGTTCGTTTCACCGCGGCGCTGGTGTGTGGTTGTAGTTCCCTTGGGGCGTTGCGTGAATAGTCATGGGCTCGTTTCTTGCACTGCAGCACGCTCCAGCCCTGGAGTGCTCGTTTCCCACTGAGCTGCGACGGGTTGCCCTGCATCCCCTAGCCCCTGCCCGACTGCCAGCATGTCCTCAGATGCTCTTGTTGCGAAGGCCGTCGAAGTCGCCAAGCCGCGCACGGAGGGGGCGCTGAAGGAGGCCCTCCCCGCCGCCGGGGCGAGGAGGCTGAGAAGGAGGAGAAGGGCACGACGCGTAAGTCGGGCCTGTCCCTCAACAGGGGGAATCTTCGAAAATAGTCAAAAATAGTCTGGGGACGATCTTTGGAATATTTTTGAATATCTGTTGAATATTTGTTTTGAGTATTTTTCATTTTTCGTCCGAAATCCGCCTGTAGGGGGACATGCCCGACCTAAGACGACGCGGACGTGAGGGGAAGAGTATCTTGAAATCCGGTCACCCCATGTTGTTCCACGGCGCTTTTGTTTCCCACGGACTTCCACCCTTCGCGCGGCCGCCCTCGTCTTTGCATCTCTCTCTCTCTCTCTCTCTGTCTCTCTCTCTCTCTCTCTCTCTTTCTCTCTCTCTCTTTCTCTCTCTCTCTCTCTCGCACGCCGGACGATCTGTCGATCGGTTGCCCCGATTAGCCCCACGCTGGCGCGGACTGCCTCTGCCTCGCCTCCGAAGAACAAAAATCCTCCGGATTCGGACCCCAGGACCCTCCGGGATCGACCCGGTTGACGAGGCTGCGGTTTGGGGGGTTGCTCGTGATGTTCGTCGATGTGGCATTTGCTCCGCAGCGTCGGACATCAAGGGAGGAGGGTGAGGATGAGATGAGGGGAGGGGGAGGGGGAGGAGGGAGAGGAGAGGAGGAGGAGGAGGAGGAGGAGGAGGAGGAGGAGGAGGAGGAGGAGGAGGGGGAGGGGAGGAGGAGGGGCAGGGGGGGAGGAGGAGGAGGAGGAGGAGGAGGAGGAGGAGGAGGAGGAGGAGGTGGAAAAATGAGAAGGGGGAGAAATCCAGTGCAATTCTTGACACTGCGAGTATCCCCACCAGCGCATCCAGCAACGATGCCCTGGCGAGTTGATTTTGCCAGGGAAATAGGGGGGGCCTACAGTGGAACCGATAGCTGGAGACCTGTCGAACCGAATTCTCGGTCGGGGTGGCCGCTACATTTGGAAACAGGATGAGGTAGGAGGAATAAACGGAGGAGGAGGAGGAGGAGGAGGAGGAGGAGGAGGAGGAGGAGGAGGAGGAGGAGGAGGAGGAGGGGGAGGGGGAGGAGGAGGAGGGGGGAGGAGGAGGAGGAGGAGGAGGAGGAGGAGGAGGAGGAGGAGGAGGAGGACGAGGAGATGGGGGAAGGAGCAAAAAAGGAGGAGGAAGAAGGAGGTGACGACGACGACGACGACGACGACGACGACGACGACGACGACGACGACGACGACGACGACGACGACGACGACAATGATGACGACGACGATGACGACGACGACGACGACGACGACGACGACGAGTCAACTATGAAAGCCTTCGCGGAGTTTTCGTTCCGCGAGCTTCTGGGAAGCTTCTTGGATGCCTCTTAGAGCTATCCTGGAGCCAGTTGAATCCAGCGCTAGGCGACGAAGTATCGGAAGACAGAGTGGGGGCCTCGGGTTGTGGCTTCACCGCCTGCGTCACTCTGCTCAGGGCGGTGTCAGATCACCTTCTCCAACCGAGGACCCACCAGCCGCCTCGCATTCTCTAGGGAGGGAAGAGGGGGGAGGATGAAGGTGATCGTTGCTTTATTCATTGTTTTGCCGATCGGCGCGGGCCCCCCTCTCCCCCCTCCCCCCCCCCCGTGTTGGCGCCTGTTTCGACCAGGTGGAGTCTCCGCCATAGAACGCACTGCTGCCAACAGTCGCATCAAGCAGAGGTCCGGAGCCAGAGCCCCCCCCCCTCTCCCCCCCATTCCGCCCAATGTCGAAACGCCAAATAAAAGAAACGCTCACAAGGGAAGTGGAAAAGGGAAGATCCACTTAGAGCAGCCCCCTTTCTCCTACACCTCCTGCCCCGACCTTTCCTTGTTTGCAGACGTGGCCTCCTGTTTCTCCTCCTCCTCCTGCTCCCAGGGAGCAGGAGGAGGACGAACAGGAGGAGGAGGAGGAGGAGGCACTGAGAGCAGCCTCCTTTCTCTTGCACCTCTTGCCCCGACCTCCCTTTTCTGCACACGTGGTCGCCTGCCTTTGCGGCTCTCGGCCCTCACGTGGCCAGGCACGGTGGTCCTCCGCACGTGCATCCGGCAGGTGGCTTCCGCGCGCTGCTCCGCACGTGGATCTGGCCACGCTTGCGTCCAGGCTCCTGGCGAGGCCCTCCTCCTCCTCTGGTGCTAAGTGCGTCTCCTCCTCCTCCTCTTCCTCCTCCTCCTCCTCCTCCTCCTCATCCTCATCCTCCTCCTCCCCGTCTCCTCCCCCTCCCCCCTCCTCCTCCTCTCCTCCTCCTCCCCCTCCTCCTCCTCCTCCTCCTCCTCCCCCTCCTCCGCCTCCTCCTCCTCCGTGGCGATCGAAAAAGGAAAAAACACAAAAACATAAACTTTTGGCGCTCCGCGTGGATTTCTTGGATCCGCGCTGGGCCCCCCCATGGATCCGCGCTGCCCCCCCCCCCCCCCCCAGCGGCGCCTCTGGCGCCGCCCCTGGCGCGATCCGCGCGCCCGGGAGGGGGGCCCGGCGCAGATCCAAGAAATCCAGCGTTGAGCGCCAAAAGTTTTTGTTTATGGGCCATGGATGAGAAAAAAAGTTTAAACCTATGTGCAAAAAAACGCCATAAATCATGGCTTTGTTTCTTCTTTTATTCACCCACCATGTGGGTTACAGTCAACCCGCATAGTAAGGACGGGCAACCTTCCCAAGGGTACCCTTGCATCCTTGCCTCCTCGGTGCATCCTTGGCCACTTGTGTTGGTCGCGCCCCGCTCGAAAACTTCGAAATGGGCTTCCAAGGGCCCTGCATCCTTATCGCGCAGCCTTACTCCACGGGTTGACTGTACCCCCCATTGCCACCCGCCCGATTGGAGGTTGGAGGCAGCACGGCATGCGGTGCCCTGACGGGCTTCGGCGGCCGCGCGATGACGACGCGCGCGCACAGCTCTCGCACATTGCCCTCTGGCCCCGCTCTGCTCCCGACCCTCCCCTCGACGCTGGCCTTAAGTCGGGCCTGTCCCTCTACAGGGGGAATTTTCAAAAATAGTCAAAAAACATACTGGAGACATTTTTTGGACCGTTTTGGGGTATTTTACAATTTTTTCGTCCAAAATCCCCCTCTAGGGGGACAGGCCCGACTTGACGCTGGCCAATCGCTGCCTGGATGGAGGCGCCGCGTCTTGACTTTGAGCTGCAAGACGCAAACATCTACCTTAAAGCCTCGAAGATGACAAAAGAA